AAACATTGCCTAGTGAAACTACAATAAACATTGCCTAGTGAAACTACAATAAACATTGCCTACTGAAACTACAATAAACATTGCCTAGTGAAACTACAATAAACATTGCCTACTGAAACTACAATAAACATTGCCTGCTGAAACTACCATAAACATTGCGTAGTGAAACTACAATAAACATTGTCTACTGAAACTACAATAAACATTGCGTAGTGAAACTACAATAAACATTGCCTAGTGAAACTACAATAAACATTGCGTACTGAAACTACAATAAACATTGCGTAGTGAAACTACAATAAACATTGCGTAGTGAAACTACAATAAACATTGGGTACTGAAACTACAATAAACATTGCGTAGTGAAACTACAATAAACATTGCGTAGTGAAACTACAATAAACATTGCGTAGTGAAACTACAATAAACATAGTCTACTGAAACTACAATAAACATTGCGTAGTGAAACTACAATAAACATTGCGTAGTGAAACTACAATAAACATTGCCTACTGAAACTACAATAAACATTGCGTAGTGAAACTACAATAAACATTGCCTAGTGAAGCCACAATAAACATTGCCTACTGAAACTACAATAAACATTGCCCAGTGAAACTATAATAAACATTGCCTTGTGAAACTACAATAAACATTGCCTAGTGAAACTACAATAAACATTGCGTAGTGAAACTACAATAAACATTGCGTAGTGAAACTACAATAAACATTGCCTAGTGAAACTACAATAAACATTGCGTAGTGAAACTACAATAAACATTGTGTAGCGAAGCCACAATAAACATTGCCTAGTGAAACTACAATAAACATTGCGTAGTGAAACTACAATAAACATTGCGTAGTGAAACTACAATAAACATTGTGTAGCGAAGCCACAATAAACATTGCCTAGTGAAACTACAATAAATATTGCGTAGTGAAACTACAATAAACATTGCGTAGTGAAACTACAATAAACATTGTCTACTGAAACTACAATAAACATTGCGTAGTGAAACTACAATAAACATTGCCTACTGAAACTACAATAAACATTGCCTAGTGAAACTACAATAAACATTGCCTAGTGAAGCCACAATAAACATTGCGTAGTGAAACTACAATAAACATTGCGTAGTGAAACTACAATAAACATTGCCTACTGAAACTACAATAAACATTGCCTAGTGAAACTACAATAAACATTGCCTAGTGAAGCCACAATAAACATTGTGTAGCGAAGCCACAATAAACATTGCGTAGTGAAACTACAATAAACATTGCCCAGTGAAACTACAATAAACATTGTGTAGTGAAGCCACAATAAACATTGCGTAGTGAAACTAGAAACGGCCATAAATGCTAGTGCTGAGCATGTAATGTCCGGTATAAGATGCGCAACTAACATTGTTATGCGACTGACATTGATTGACAACAATATGACCAAAGCCTGTAGAGGAAATATTACCAGCGTAGATCTAATACCAGCCGGTCTAGTATGTAAAGTAAAGGAACCTTTTCCACGCTTTCAGGCGTATTGGGCATCGAGGGCAAGACCTGTATTTAGTATACCAATCGGCACCAGGTAGGTGATCTGGTCAGCATCACACTGACCGCATTTTCTTCCTAGGACTGCACCTAGTACTCATTCAACGCTGGGTCGACCTGAGAGCCAAGGAAAAGAGTCAGGTTAGGTCAAAACCCGAACCCACGAACTTCCGATCTTCAGGCGAGCTTCCAGCCGCTACAACACGACTGCTCTCAGTCAAGTATGACTATGGAAATAAATGTCGACTCCAAAACACTTCTATGGGCTGCAGAACAAGTAGTCACATGTGCGATGATCAGCGCAGACTCCGTGAACATGTTTCATCAAACCCTTTCAGGTATCCTCATCAGTAAATGGGTAGACACAATTCGCAGGTAGCTTCTAATCTCTCTCACATGGATCAGTACACCCGGGCTTAGCGCAGTAAAAGATGATGAACGACATGCCCATCTGGGAAATATTGCACCACTGCATGTAGAAAGATAGCTGAAAAGAAAGCATTATTGATTTAACGTCTGGCAGATGTTGATGAATCGCTGACGCCAATACGATTTTATTGCATTAGAGTTAAGCCCGGTGAAACAGTTGATCCCCTCTTTAGGGTAAAGATAGGAGACATTTTAAACTTACTATGGGAATCATCATTTGATAGCTGCTGTATCGGCGGACTGAGTATGTATGGGAAAGCCGTGTGGGCAGTGGCGTTGATTGTAATATCTTAAGATCTCCAGAGATTCTGATATGCTGATTAACGATCTCACCACATACTCGCAAACCTCTCCCCAGATGCTTAGCTCCAGCACAAGGCTGGGACTCTGAAAGCGCCAGAAGTGATAAACTGAAGAAGACCTCTACTGCATTTAGTATCTTTAGTATTCAGAAACCATGAGTTGTTAACCCTTTGGCTCAGTACTACGGATATGTTAACCCTTCGGACTTGATTCCATGATAGGTACCGTACATCTGGAAGAAATGTGGCTTTTCTGCCTACCCCCGGGCGTGAACCCGGTCCACAAGGAGTTCGTCACCAGGTCGCTGCGAAGTCAGGTTCAACCAACTACGCTAGCGAGCCGGGCTACATCTACTGCATAAAAGGATCAGCTCAGAAAGATGGGGGAAAGAGGAAGGGTATGGGAGGTGGGGAGGGGGAAGTTCCACACAAACGTCATCTGACACACACACACACTCTTTTCTGTACTGTACCGTCTTGGAGTCAGTGCATCAAAATTATACATTCAAACAGTTTTTAAGAACTTCCTCTTACAGTCGTATAGAGCTAATTGCCCCGCTACCCGCACCCTTCTGCCTTCTAGTAGCAGTAAATTTTACATACAAATCCTGTTCAACCCTCAGGTTTATAATTTTTTTTTTTTTGGGGGGGGGGGGGGGGGGGTGTAAAGTTATTATTCTGTTATCATAGTATATACTTGTTTTATAAATCATGTAATCTTTTTTTTTATTTAGGACAATTATTTAACTTGAATTTTTATTTTACATTGGTTTTTTTTAAACACTTTTTTGGGTTGTGATCAAGATATAAATTGCAATCTAAATATTTAGATAAACTTACTCACATTTGTGTCCTTAAAATAGTGGATTTACTATGCCCTTGGAAAAAAAGTTGTGTATCATAGTTTTATCTTTATGAGAAATTTCTTCGAAGATGGTGCGAGCATTTCTTACCCTCCTAAATATAAGGATTTTAGTTTTTTTGCTCTAATAATAAATTGCAACTTCTATCCTAACAACCACTAAACAAATAAGGATTATGACACAAAATGATAAGCCTTTTCATACCGTACATTCACTGTAAATGGATTCATACTTGTTATATTAAGTTATTCTCTGAAGTTGAAAGGCAGTTCATGTGCAACCAATTAACTTTTGTTGTTGTTTTGTTTCAGCTGTGTGCATCAGCTAACTCCTCTTGTAACATGAAGGCAGATTATGACATTATCCTTGACCTGGCAACCAATAGTTCACCTACAATAACAGAACAGTTAATCACTGTTATTGAAAATCAACTTAAAGGAACATACAAACATTGTGTGACTGTTCTGTCAACTGACAAGATAGACAGTGTCTTCCCAGGCAGCAGAAGCATAGTTTCAAATGAACCTATCGACCTTCTGTACAAAGCAAAGTTTCTTCTGGACAGTGCGAATGTCACTGATTTTCTGATTGTAACGACTTTGATCATGAAGAAATACTGGGAAAATCTATGCCTGCACATGTTTTCTGCTGTCCACAACTGGTCAGTGTTGGGGGTGGATGTAACAGGTGAGGTTGTCAGCTTTGATCTCTCCAGGGAACTGCTGGTGGAGACACATTTTAAAGAATACCTGAAGAAGCTGGGAAACATTGAGGAGGTCAAGATTCTAAGAAGTCATGTTATCCCAGAGAAAATGTTTAATGCAGGTAGATACTTTATTGATCTTCACTGTAACAAACCATTCAAGACTTGTTTTAGCTTTATTTCTTCAATTACTTTGGTTTAAATTGTGTTAAGTGGTATCAATGATGAAGTGGTTAGCTGCCTGCCTTCTGTTCTGAAGGCTGTGGTTTGATTTCAGACTTTATCCCAGTTACTGTTGACTTTATGATCAGCTCCCTCCAACTCTATCGTTAGGTCACCAGCTACTGTTGACTTTCTGATTAGCTCCTTCCACTTCTGTCATTAGGTCACCAGTTACTGTTGACTTTCTGATCAGCTCCTTCCACCTCTGTCATTAGGTCATCAGTTACTGTTGACTTTCTGATCAGCTTCTTCCACCTCTGTCATGGGTCACCAGTTAATGTTGACTTTCTGATCAGCTCCTTCCACATCTGTCATGGGTCACCAGTTACTGTTGACTTTCTGATCAGCTCCTTCCACCTCTGTCATTAGGTCATCAGTTACTGTTGACTTTCTGATCAGCTTCTTCCACCTCTGTCATGGGTCACCAGTTACTGTTGACTTTCTGATCAGCTCCTTCCACCTCTGTCATTAGGTCATCAGTTACTGTTGACTTTCTGATCAGCTTCTTCCACCTCTGTCATGGGTCACCAGTTACTGTTGACTTTCTGATCAGCTCCTTCCACTTCTGTCATGGGTCACCAGTTACTGTTGACTTTCTGATCAGCTCCTTCCACATCTGTCATGGGTCACCAGTTACTGTTGACTTTCTGATCAGCCCCTTCCACTTCTGTCATTAGGTCACCAGTTACTGTTGACTTTCTGATCAGCTCCTTCCACCTCTGACATTAGGTCACCAGTTACTGTTGACTTTCTGATCAGCTCCTTCCACCTCTGTTGTTATGTCACCAGTTACTATTGACTTTCTGATCAGCTCCCTCCACCTCTGTCGTTAGGTCACCAGTTACTGTTGACTTTCTGATCAGCTCCTTCCACCTCTGTCGTTAGGTCACCAGATGCTGTTGACTTTCTGATCAGCTCCTTCCATCTCTGTCATTAGGCCACCAGTTACTGTTTACTTTCTGATCAGCTCCTTCCACCTCTGTCGTTAGGTCACCAGTTACTGTTGACTTTCTGATCAGCTCCTTCCACCTCTGTCGTTAGGTCACCAGTTACTGTTGACTTTCTGATCAGCTCCTTCCACCTCTGTTGTTAGGTCACCAGTTACTGTTGACTTTCTGATCAGCTCCTTCCACCTCTGTCATTAGGTCACCAATTACTGTTGACTTTCTGATCAGCTCCTTCCACCCCTGTCGCTTGGTTGCCAGTTCCTATTTTTTTTTATCAGCCTCATCCACATTTGTCAGTCAGATGCAATGGTCATAACATGTATGTGTTTGTAGCTTGTCCAGTCAGTCAGATTATATATCAAGGTCTTTCTTGGTTTGCATCTTCTTTTCTTTCCAGAATTACTGAACAGGAACCAAAATAGGAAGTAAATGAATTGAGGGGAAAAAATCATCCAAAGGAAACCCTACAGGGAACGTCAATGACAGAGGCCAAAGTTGCTGCACTGGACTATCTCCATGAAATTAAAAAAGAGTGCGGGGATAAAATAGAATGAAAGAAAAGAATTCCAGCCCTATGAGCGAAATGTAGTAGTACAAGAGAACAATGATGTATGAATTCTTGTTGAGACTGTAAGAAAAAAAGGTGGATGTTCGACTCTGTATGCCAACCTTCAGTTATCAACTGAAATAATTACATGGCAGTCTGAAAGAATATGCATTACTGTCATCAAAACCAGACTACAATCATACAATCATGCTATTTACTCTACTACAAAAATAGCAGCATACAAACACTTGCTATGCTAACTGGTCCCATAACAAGCAACTAATCACACATCTTCCTCAACACATACTGTATTTCCTCAAGTATAATATGATCCAATATCTACAACCCACCTTGATGGTGATTTTAAGACCAGCAATTTTTATCTACAATGCACCTTGATCTTAGAACCAGAAATTTTGATTTACAATGCACCTTGATCTTAGGACCAGAAATTTTGATTTACAATGCACCTTGATCTTAGGACCAGAAATTTTGATTTACAATGCACCTTGATCTTAGGACCAGAAATTTTGATTTACAATGCACCTTGATTTTCAGATTTGAACTTTGGAAACAAAAAGTATGATTATATAAGATCTACTACCATTGTTTAGGACACACACTGTTTTTAGACACTTTATTTTAAAAAAAAAAATATGTGTGTCTTGTACATCATGAAATTTGGTAATTTTCTGTTCCTTATCTCACATATATGTTATATCGAACCTGTTCTGTTGTATGGTAGTGAAATTTGGAATGACAGTACACATATTAAGAAGAATTTGGAGGCTGCTGAGATGTTGTTCTTGAGAAGAATGTTGACTATACCTTGGACTGCCAGAATAACCAACACTGAATGCTTGGAAATGGCTGACGAAAGTAGAATATTGTATACAACATTGAGAAGGAGACAAACAAAGTTCTTGGGTCATGTGATGAGGAAAGGAGCACTGGAAAATATAGTGATGACTGGAAAGATCACTGGTGGAAAAAGCAGAGGCAGACCAGGAGAAATGATGGTGGATGGCCTAAGACCGTGGCAAGGAAGAATATTATCAGTGGAATTGATCCAGAACACAAAAGGCTGAGATCTGTGGATATGCATGAACGCCTACACCAGCTGGCAAGGCACTTGATGATGATGATGACCTCACATGGTTTACCCAGTTATGTTTTATCATTAATTAATGCTGGGAGTTTTTAATTCTACATCCTTGTTCTAAATTAATCTCACTGGACACATTAAGATGATCATCGGATAATGACTAAGATAATTGATTGGTTTTTGTAATGGGTAGCTATGGTTACTGTGTACAAGTTCTGTTTTAGGTGGCTATGGTTACTGTGTACAATTTCTGTTTTGGGTGGCTACGGTTACTGTGTACAAGTTCTGTTTTTGGGTGGCTGTGGTTACTGTGTACAAGTTCTGTTTTGGATAGCTACACTTACTGTGTAAAAGTAATTTTTGTGGGTGGCTATGGCTACTGTGTACAAGTTCTGTTTTGGGTGGCTATGGTTACTGTGTACAATTTCTGTTTTGGGTGGCTTTGATTACTGTGTACAAGGTCTGTTTTAGGTGACTATGGTTATTTTTTACAATTTCTGTTTTGGGTGGCTATGGTTACTGTGTACAAGTTCAGTGTTTTAGATGACTATGGTTACTGTGTACAATTTCTGTTTTGGGTGGCTATGGTTACTGTGTACAAGTTCAGTGTTTTAGATGACTATGGTTACTGTGTACAAATTCTGTTTTAGGTAGCTATGGTTACTGTGTACAAGTTCTGTTTTAGGGGGCTATGGTTACTGGGCACAAATTTTGCTTTAGGTGGCTGTACAACTTCAACTCTCAAGCCCTGGTGAATTAGTTCGCAGGTCTTTTAAGTTTTGAAAAAGACATGAATTGTTAAGTGAGCTCACCACGTAACTTTTTTTGTTACCACTGACCAAAGTACCATCTTTATGGGGACTGGTTTGTAAAACTCTCCTTTCCCTGTCAAGCACGTAAGAAAACAAGAATACCCAAATGGCTTGACTAAAGGAAATCTTATCTACAGCAGTAATGAATAATTAAATAATATAAGACTTGTGGATTAATTTGATGGTCAACCATAATTGCCCCTATTTTTTTAGACAGCACATTATCATAATGAGGATGATGATGATGACTGGAACCTGTCTTCCATCTGTTATCCATAAATATTTCTAACATATAACTTCTGTTTCTTTAACACAAATTATTCTAACATTTATTTTCCAAAAAGATTATAAAATATGTCATCAATTTGCTAATCGCGTGCAGTTATAACCTTTGCCTTCTGTGTCTTCCATCTGTTTACAACAAGCCATTCTAGTATATATGTTTTTGTTTGTTTCACAGGGTTTAAACTGTGTCTTCCTTTTGTTGATCACAGGCTATAAATTACCTATATCATTAAGTTTTTTATCACAGGCTTCAAACTACCTGTGACTTCCATTTGTTGATCACAGGCTATAAATTATCGGTCTTCAATTTGCTTATCACAGGCTTCAAACTTCTTGTGTCTTCCATTTGTTTATCAGAGGATATAGATTACCTGTGTCTTCTGACTGACTGACTGACTTTCTACCCCACCAGGACATCACACAAGGGATAAACACCCGATGACACAAAGTGCCACCATGTGGATGAGGATCACCGTGGAGAGATCCCAGAAACCGTGTTCAGACAATTGGCCATATTGATGGCCTGCCTATATTGCGGCCCCTGGCAAAAGCCAGAGTGGGGCTTCAAATAACAAATAATTACGTCCTAAAAAAGACGTAAGGAATAGATCTAGTAAGTGGAATATCTCTGTGTCTTCTGTTTGTTTATCAGAGGGTATGAATTACCTCTGTCTTCCATTTGTTAATCACAGGTTATAAATAATATGTCATTAGTGTGTTTACTACAGGCCATTGTAACTTGTGTCTTCCATTTGTTAATCACAGGTTATAAATAATATGTCATTAGTGTGTTTACTACAGGCCATTGTAACTTGTGTCTTCCATTTGTGTACCACAAGCCATTTTCAAAGATAAGTCTTCCAATTGTTTATAGCAAGGTTTTTAAAAAAAATGCTTTCATTTATATACTACAAGGGTTCCATGAGCGACATGGAGGAGTGACACAGTTACCCCCCTTGGCATCTATGAACATGCTGTACACAATCCGAAAACCTGACCCCATTCTGGTCATCAAGGAAAACAGAAGAAGACTGGCAGTGAAAGCTGGGTTTGACCCAGACTCCATGCACTTCGCTAAAGTTGAACACGGAGCAAACATCTGGGTGATTGGGAAAGAGCCGCCTGCAAGGTTTGATGGTCTAGCAACAAATATACCCGGTGTCACACTAGCCGCCCCTGGTGCTGATTGCTCTATGATTCTATTGGCTGATGTTAAAACAGGTATTCCATTTGTTTCTTTTCTTTAATGATTGTATTGGTCAGTATTAAATAATAAAGCAAGCTTTGCATTTGATTCCGTTGATCCAATGATTTTGGTAATCCAATAGCCAAGTAATGAGGTAATTGAAATTCCAACTTTAATCAAATGGGTCACTCCATAGGTGCTCTATTGTGAAATCAATGACGCAGAGTGCAGGTGTTATAACGCCAGTAACACACACATGCATTAAATGCATAACAGGGCTGCCAACACAAACAGTCCAGCACTAGAAATGCGATTGATTGCAAGTTTAAGCAGCAGCTATGTCAAACCAATAGTTGCACATGCAATTAATTGCATAAGGCACCATCAGTTATGTCGCAAAAGGCCACTCTCCTTTTCACAACATAAACCAGGTATACACCACGGCTTTAGTTTTGTTAGCAAGCATTGCAAACACTGCACAAAATACACCTCAGAAAGAATCATTTCCGGCTTGGATAAATATGTCAAAGATGTAAAATACCATATAATCTTCTAGAATTGAAGAAGACAATGCATTTCGTGCATAAAACTAATGAGGAGGATTTTAAACCAATAAACAAATTAGGCAGGTAAGTAATTTAGGGTTTGCTTTGTGTACAACCATTTACATGATGCATGGATACTTCCATAAATGCTAAACATGTACAGTTGACCATGAATGGAGAATGTGATCACGGCTGACAAACTTCCTAACACAAGAATCCAAATATCTCAATACTAAAATCACCTGTCACATTTTCATTTTTGTGATAGGGTTCCCAATTGTTAAATTTTGCCTGGGCTAACCTGTACGTGTATTCAGCTATGTCTGCTTTAGACAAAAAATACAATGCTAACCTGCACAGTGTGTGGCAACAGCAGTAGCCATGCAGTCCTAAATTCTCAGGCCCAAAGACCCCTCTGCCTATATCACAAAAGTGGTAATTACTGACAGTAATGTGCAGTTTAAACAACCTTTAAAGTCTCTGCAGCAGCAACGAAAGTTTGAGAGTTGTACCTTCCATATAGAAACATACTGATGTGAGTCATCGACTATCTCACAGTCGTTAAGGAAGAAAATATAGGTGGTGGAGCTGAAATACTGCAGGAAGACTCTTATAATGTCATGGACAAAGAAGAAAAGAAACACTGTCCTCCTACAAGATCCTCAAATCAAGGAAGAGTAGCTAATAAATAGTATCTTATCTCAAAACTAAGATATTTTGGTTACATCAAGTGCCGTGGCGGATTTTGGGGAAAAATAGCAGAAAGCATGGTACCAGGAAAAAGGGGCGTGGGTTGACCATTATGAAGATAGGCACAGGATATAGATAACACCTTTGGTAGGGAACAGCATAAAAAATGGAGAGCTGGCAAGAGACAGTGATAAGAGCAGCGTTCTGCAAAGGATCTGCAACATGATGATGAGTGGCAGTTTAAAGATGTTAGTTTCATTAGTGAAACAATCATTTCTTTGAATGGTTCAAATGTTTTATCTTTACCACAGGTGCATGTGGGGCAGTTCATTCTGGCTGGCGGGGTACAACTTTAGGTGCTGTGAGATCCCTGCTGAAGACAATGGTGGATGAATTTGGAACAGACCCCAAAGATGTCCGTGCTGCAATTGGTCCTACAATTGAAGCTTCATGTTTTACTCTTTTAGCAGCAGATGCTAATCCAATCACAGATCTAGATCCTTCCTTGGTGTATCCAATGAAGAACAAGAGTAATGTAGTTCATGTAGATCTGGTTGGTGCCAATGTTATTATGCTTGAGAAAGATGGTGTTCCACATAACAATATAGACACCAGTCATGCTGTATGCACAGTTTGTAACAAACAGTTTTATTCTTATCAGCGAGACTCGGTTCCATTTGGAAACCAGATTGGTTTTATTTCCTGCAGAAAACAACCATCAGAAAATATTTAACTACATTGCTTGCTAGCTTTTGGCAAATTTTCAAAACTGAATTCAGTGGTGGTGGTTTTCTCCAGGCTTACAACTTTTTTATATACGCTCCTAGAAATTGACAACAAACCTCAGGTTAGATTTTAAAACCAGGTTAAATTACAAAACCAAAAAGCATCATGCATGAAAGATACGAATACAAAATGGTGCTTTATTTATTGCATAAATATTTAACTGCGGTGGTATAAAAACAACAACTAATTTATTGAAACTAAAGTTACACTAGACTATATTAATTTAATGTGCATTCAACGACAATTTAATTTTTTTTTAAAGTACTATAAGCTTTAGGAACAAGCATAACTGATAACTTAATCTGCTATGTCTGAAGTATTATCAGTCTGTAGAAAATAAATGTATAGTGTCTCTTAACTCTTTAAGTCCTAAGAAACGCATCATACGTTCATAGGTTACTGTCTAGAAGCCCAATAAATGCATGATGCGCCGATTTTACGTCTCTCTTGACTACCCCTTGGGCCTGTGATGCTAAACCCTCTGGGACTCAAAGAGTTAAAACTGGTTGCTAGCAATATGTGAACAGTTTTCTTTGTATCTGAAGATCACAGTTTTTTGTTTTTTAATGATTTAAATGTTCATCACATCAGAGTTTGTTTAATACGATCAATCAGAGCTAATTAAGTGAATGAATACTTGTATTTTTTACCATGTCAAACAAGTGAAGAAGAGCAGCCGGCCAATCAGTTAAGAATACATGGGTGAGGTGAGTTGTCCAGAATTGACATCACAGCACTCTTGGTTATTCCATGTGTGCTCCGTCCTCATCTTCAGCAGCCAGCACAGAGTTCCAATACTGATCGCACCAGTCACAATCTGGTTATATGTCTGTTTTGCCTTTTTTCCGAGTTTAGTGAGCCGACTACATCCTCTGGTTACACCCAGGTGCTTTAAGAATGCTTGGATGTCATGCAAGAGACCTGGTTCAAATCATCTGTTAGGTTAGGGAGTTTGTTCTTCTAGGGGCAAAAATCAAATCCTAACCTACTGAGTCTGTGGTGACAGCACTAGCTATTAGGCGGACCCCTATGCCTACACTACAAATGTGGTAAATACATGCTGTAATGGTCGGTTTTTCTTTTAAACTATTAGAGTGAAACTATGACGTGTGCTGATATTTCTTTTATTAGCTCACCATCTGTAGTTTTTATGTGATTTCATCACATTTTGTGTAATAAATCGGCTTAGTGACTCTCTCATCATTGAAATTTCAAAAACTGCGTTGGATATTTGTGTAATCTTCAAAATGCATGTTGTAAAATGACTTCATGGATTTGTAGAATTCTTCACCAGAAAGTACTGGTAAATGACAGTTTTTCTTGTTCTTTGCTGCCACTTTTATCTCAGTAGGTCTCAAGAGAGACACATCTTTTTGTTCTTGCTCTTCCGGGTGCCCTGACTAGAGACAATTTGTTCACTTGTAGATTTTCTCTGATGTTATCTTTCTATATTATTGTTGGTCTACCTCGAATGCTAAGTTTTTGTTACTTGTATACTTTGTCATACAGATTCAGGCAAATGTTGTTTACTTGTATACAGATTCAGGCAAATGTTGTTTACTTGTATACAGATTCAGGCAGATGTTTTCTTCTGTTGTTTTCTGCATATACAGATTCAGTGTTGTTTTCTGACTTGTATACAGATTCAGGCAAATGTTGTTTACTTGTATACAGATTCAGGCAAATGTTGTTTACTTGTATACAGATTCAGGCAAATGTTGTTTACTTGTATACAGATTCAGGCAAATGTTGTTTACTTGTATACAGATTCAGGCAAATGTTGTCTTCTTGTATACAGATTCAGGCAGATGTTGTCTTCTTGTATACAGATTCAGGCAGATGTTGTCTTCTTGTATACAGATTCAGGCAGATGTTGTTTACTTGTATACAGATTCAGGCAAATGTTGTTTACTTGTATACAGATTCAGGCAGATGCACTCTGGTTTTTAAAAAAAAAATGTCTATAGTCACCATTGACAACAGGCTTGTCAAGGAGACAGTGGGTCTATTCTCATTCCCCCCCCCCACCCCCCACCACACCTGGGGCCCCGACACCCACATGGTGATTCAAGCTTGTATAATTACCTATCATAAAGTATGAAATGTTCATATTAAACATATCATGTTGTAACTGCCAAGCAGTGAGACTAATTGCTTTCATTGTTTGTGGCTTGTGTATTCATACACATTTCATATTTCGTGTTCTGTTAATAGTGATAATGTATTTTTCCCCTTTGACCTTAGATCTGTTTAATGCTTGTAGAGAGCAGTTCTGCAATACATATTTGGTATTTTATTGTTCACATGGGCCAAGTTCTGTGTCCCCAGTCTTGAGTTTCTTGTAAATCTTTGTGCTTTCAATTTGCTTTTTCTGTGATATTCATCAAATAAAAAAATGTCACAATATTCTCTTTAGTCTTTCATACATTATAAAGTCAGGATTATGTAATTATAAATTACTTAGGGCTTATGTGAGTAAATATTGCTCATTATATTTTCAAACTTAGTTGAGTATTATGTTGAAAGGGAGTTGCCGTGGCGTAACGGCTAGACCGGAAGGTTGTGAGTTAATTCTCTGGGGGAGCCGGACTTTTTAAAAAATGACCTTGACTCCCAGGTCGACCTAGCCTTGAGTGTGTACTGGGTGCAGTCCTGGTAAGTAAAGGAAGCTAGCGTGATGCTGACCACTTCGTCCATCTTGTGCCCATTGGTCTATAAAAATATTGGTCCAGCCCTATGTGCCTTATATGCCTAAAGGCGTAGAAAGGGAAACTGTACTTTTTACTTGCTTATTATGTTGAAATATTACCAACTTATTTTCATGGCAATTGTTTTTTTGTGTGTGTATGAAAATGTTTTTATGTTCAAGACAATTTTGTATTTATACAGTCATGTTGTATTTGATGAATTTGTGTATTAATTTTTTGTTTGTAAGATCACATAAGCTGTATTTTAAAGTGTGATACAATTTAACAGATAGCTTTATGTGCAAAATAAAATGATTAAATAAGGATGTATATTTATTTAGCTTCATTGTTCCGATTTACAAAGGAGAACAATTCCTTAAATTAAATACTTTCATCCCATCAAACATTTTATAAGTTCAGAAAAGATGGCAACTTTTGGCTGATTTCTGCTAGAAGAACTAGCAATGGTCGCCCAAGACAACATTGGACACAGGACATTCTTCTTTTTTCTTAGCTATTCCCTGGCTGTAAATTCTGGCTGAAAGTTCTGGTTGTACACAAACTTCTAGACAATGGTCCTGTTCCAGAACTTGAGTTTTGTAGTTCCATCTGTTTCACCAATTTAGCTTTTTATATGCAGACTGTTGTTTCCTTGCCTATCTAGCAGATGCACTCTGACTTTTAAGGATAAGTCCTAATCACCTGCATTGTACGACATGCTTGTAGCGGAAGGAGAATGGGAGCAATGGGTATATTCCCCCCCCCCCTCCCCACCTCCCCCCACTTGTTTCTAAGAACCCTCAGGGGAAGATACAGGACATTAAAATCTTTCTTTGCACGGTGAACTTGCAAAGGATCAAACAGTTTTTGACTGATTGTGATGGGCATGATTTTCTGCAAATGACTGGTTATGTTTCTTCTTCTTCATTCAGTTCTCCCTGCCACTAGTTTTCAGATGAGAAGGCCACAGGCCTGTTTTGAAATGTGGTTCGATGCATGTTCTCCACTGACCCCTACAGCTTTCTGCCAGAATGCCAACTGGCCAGAACTGGGATCTCTCTACAGTGTGTAGACAGCATGTCTGCAGCAGTTTCTGACCTCTGGGTGATGCTTGTCCACATGGTCAAAGTTAGGAGTCCCCTATCTTGAATCTCTTGTTCATATGGGCAAAGTTCGGAGTTCCCCCATCTTGAATCTTTTGTTCATATGGCTGTGGAGTTGTTTTGTCTACTTAGCAATCTGAATACAATTAATTGATCCTTTTGTGTGAGGAGGTTTACTGTTCTATAGCCATATTTAAATAATAGAATGTGTAAAATGTTTATTAATTAATTTAAATTTATTAGCTGGAATACTTTGCTGTATCTCATCAGGGGCATACATGAGAATATGCACCGACATGAAATGAAACAAAAATGTGAATCCTTTCCATTGAAATATGCAGATCATACAGTTCATTACTACATGGTGTAGACTGTAAATCTCATCTCGGAAGACTTAAATCAACCATGTGGTCCTTTACTTTGCATGACTGTGCATCTTTATTTGGTGTACCTTAAAAGACAATAGTCTTCTGTGTGATAAAAAATCCATAAGGTAGAATGGAAATGTAGCATATAATTATTTGGTCATCTGCAGACAAATAAAAAACTGACCTGTTATGAGGGAAAATGGACTTGAGATTTTGTAAGCAACTGGCAAGATTCATGGAAAAAGCACAAGGGAAAGACAAACAAATAACAGCTTGACCATGTGGATGGGGGCGAGATAAGAACACTATGATTCTGGTGATCATGTGATATAGTAATATATGGTAGATTGCAGTTATCCTCACTACACATGATATTGATGATGATGAGGATGATGATTATGAATCAGTTGCTTGCTACATTATTTGTCTTTCTTTCTTTATTTAATCATTATCATCATTATTATCGTCGTTCCATAACTCTGTGTGTCATTGGGTCACTAGTTGCTGTCGACTGATCAGCTACCTCCACCTTTTACAGTCAGGTGCATTGGACTTCATGGTTGTGCACCTAAGAGTGTCAAGTCAGTCATGTTCTTATTCCACGTCTCTCTTGGTCTACCTCTTCTCCTCTACTTAGCCCTGTAGTATTGTTTTTGATAGGCCATTAGATCCTTTTACCTGTTTGTTCCATTGCATTGTCTATCTTTTCACTGTGTTTGAAATAGGTTCATAGTTGCCAGTATGCTGGATAATTGTAGGGTGAACCTTGTCATATGTGATGTGGTCTCT